AATGGAGAGGAGTTTGTATGCCGCTCTGAGATTCCCTTGGGTAGTGACGGGCGGGGTATAAATCCAATCTCTTCTTCTTCTTAGCAGTGTCACAGTTTAGAGCCGCGTCTCCCAGTAGGTCCCTGGGCTTGCTTGGGGGGTCCTGACCAGATGCTGGTACCCCCTGTGTTAAGTGGGCAGGGGGCAGAGTGTCCAGGTGGGCTTTGGCTGGGGGGATGGGGGGGAAGGAACTCGGGGTGTGTGTGGGGGGGGGTGTCATTGCACGCAGGGTGTCCTCAGTGCAATTCCCGCCGCCCCCAGCGACCCGAGATGCTTTGGCTGGGAAGTCCCACCCTGAGGCCTTGGAGGGCTCCTGCCAGGCTGAATATCGATGGCATTTTGTCCCTTCCCTTCCGTCCTCAGCATCCAACTCAGGCCTTATTCTGGGCAGCGTTGGCGTGAATCTTCTGGTTGTTTTCATCCTGGACGTGGTCTTTGCCTTCCGCAGTAAGTAAACAGGGAATGCCTTGGCTGAGCAGGGTCCGTGTCTGTGAGGTTCTTGTGGTGGATCCCCCCTGAGGGTCGTGGGGGTGGCACAGGGCCCCTGGGGGGGGCAGACGTTGCTCCCATATCCGGTGGTGCCCCCAACCCCTCCCCACATGATTGGCCTTTTGAACAAGGACTGGCCAGTCCTTATTTGTTAGCTTATTTTTAAGTACTTCCAGCTGGCCTTGTTTGCTGTAGTGGTTAAGAGCCAGTTTGGTGTACTGGCTCTTAACCACTACTTAGACCCACCGGGAATTAATTGAGCTCCACTGACTTCCGTGGGGGTGCCTCTTGGGTAGATGCATCTCTCATTTTGACAAGCAGTTTCTCTCCAGTGCCACAGTCCTGGGAACCTCGGCTAGTCCGCTCCCCTCCCTTCTCCCTGGGCGTCTCGACACGGGGTCAGGTCTCTTTCCTGGTGTGTGTGCGGAGTGTCTAGTTGTGACTTGGGGGGGGGGTGTTCCTCTGTTCCCATCCAATGGCTGAATGAGAGGCATCCCTGTTCCCTCACACCACGGAGTCGCTAGGGGAAGCTTTTGGGGGGTACTTAAAAGGGGATTGCAGCAGCATCTGCCAAGGTGGGGGGTTAAGAACCCAAAGGGCCGGCTTCATTGGACAGCAGGTGAGCGGATGGATGGCCTCTGGGTGTCCCTTCCGGCTCTGACTTCCTGGTTCTCTCTCTGCAGGAAAACTACTGAAGAGCGATGAAGAAGCATCAGGTGAGTTTGTGTCCCTTCCTCTCTGGGGTGTTCCTTCAACTTAGAAAATGGGGGCGGGGAGTGGGGGGCATCCACTTAAATATCAGCCGACAGACCCAGAGCCCCACCTCCCCACTGAAGTGGCCTAGGAAAGGGAAGGGGGGGTCTTAGTCCATCTACAGCCGGGTGGCTTCTCGGCTACAGACATATCAGAACCGCCAGAGAGCCGATCTCAAGGCCAAGTTGCATGAGAAACAGGAGTAAAAGCATTTGAGTTTTCTCTGTCCTGCCTCTCCACAAAGTGCTCCAAATAGCTGATAATCAAATCAAACAGCCAATAACGCTATCAGTTTTTAAAAGTCCTCAGGAGTAGAAAGCAAAAGCTAGACTCTTAAGCATCGTCTTAAGCATTGAGCCAAGAGGCAGGGTGAAACTGTTTTAATAAACACATCAGTTTAATTTCAACGATGGTGAATTGTATGACCTGGAAGATCCAGTCCCAGAGAGGCAGAACGGAGACTCTGACCAGGACCTTCCAAACGGGCAGTGATTGGGCCGCAGGAGTTCCTTCCTTCCTTCCTTCCTTCCTTCCTTCCTTCCTTCCTTCCTTCCTTCCTTCCTTCCTTCCTTCCTTGTAGCTCTCACCACTTCCTGTGGCAGTGAATTCCACCTGTTCATGACTCTTTGCATGAAGAAGAGCCAGTTTGGTGTAGTGGTTAAGTGCACGGACTCTAATCTGGGAGGTCCGGGTTTGACTCCCCACTCCTCCACTTGCACCTGGCTGGATGACCTTGGGCAAGCCGTAGCTCTGATAAGAGCTATCCTTGAAAAAGAGCAGTTTCTGTCAAGAGCTCTCTCAGCCCCGCCTACCTTACAGGGTGCCTGTTGTGGGGAGGGGGAAGGGAGAGGAGTTTGTAAGCCGCTCTGTGATTCCGAGTGAAGGGCGGGGTATAAATCCAATCTCCTCCCCCTCCTCCTCCTCTCAAGGGGGGACCCCACCCCCCTGGCGGCTCCTCCGAAAAGTCCTCCTAGATCAATAGGACAGGACAATAAACCGAGGGCACTAAAATCTCCCATCCGACATGTCAAAAGTGGGGAAGATCGCAGGCCTCCAGGGCCTCAGATGGAGGGGAGGGGACAGAGGGGCCAAAAATCTGGTCTCCCCCAGCTCTGCCAGGGACCCTCTCCTCTAGTCCACCCCCATGCGCTAGAGGCAGGGACGCTCTGCACAAGAGAGTGAAATAGCCCTCTAATAGCCAACCTTCCAGGGCCTCAGATGGAGGGGAGGGGACAGAGGGGCCAAAAATCTGGTCTCCCCCAGCTCTGCCAGGGACCCTCTCCTCTAGTCCACCCCCATGCGCTAGAGGCAGGGACGCTCTGCACAAGAGAGTGAAATAGCCCTCTAATAGCCAACCTTTTGTTGTTCAGTTGCACAGTCGACTCTGACTCTTTGCGACCCCATGGACTAGATCCCGCCAGGCCTTCCTGTCTTCCGCTGTCCTCTGAAGTTTGCTCAATTTCATGTTCGGTGCATCTATGACACTGTCTAACCATCTCATCCTTTGCCGTCTTCTTTGACCTTCAATCTTTCCCAGCATCAGGGTCTTCTCCAGTGAGTGCTCCCTTCTCATTTGGTGGCCAAAGTATCTGGGAATATCATTGCTTTGACCATGCAGACTTTTGTTGGCAGGGTGATGTCTCTACTTTTTATCATGCTGTTTTGGTTCGCCATCACTTTCCTCCCAAGGAGCAGGCATCTTTTAATTTCATAGCTGCTGTCACAGTCCGTGGTGATCGGGGATCCCAGGAACGTGAAGTCTATCACTACTTCCACGACTTCCCCTTCTATTTGCCAAGGAGTGATGGGGCTGGATGCCATGATCTTAGTTTTTTTTATGTTGAGCTAGCTCAGCTGGGATACCATCACCTCCACTAGCTTTGTTGTTAGTAATGCTTTCTAAGGCCCATTTAACTTCACATTCCAGGATGTCTGGCTCGAGGTCAGTGATTATACCGTCGTGGTTGTCAAGGACATCGAGGTCTTTCTTGTATAGTTCTTCTGTGTATTCTTGCCATCTTTTCCTAATCTCTTCTGCTTCTGTTAGGTCCCTACCGTTTTTGTCCTTTATCATGGCCAGCTTTGCATGGAACGCTCCCTTGATTTCTCCAATTTTCTTGAAGAGATCTCTAGTCCTTCCCATTCTATTGTTTTCTTCTATTACTTTGCACTGTTCATTCAGGAAGGCCTCCTTATCTCTCCTTGCTGTTCTCTGGAAATCTGCGTTCAGTTGGGTAAATCTTTCCTTTTCGCCTTTGCCTTTCGCTTTCCTTCTTTCCTCTGCTATTTGTAAAGCCTCATCAGAAAGCCATTTTGCTTTCTTGCATTTCTTTTTCTTTGGGATGGTGGTGATTGCTGCCTCCTGTACAATGTCACGAACCTCCATCCATAGTTCTTCAGGCACTCTATCAAATCTAGACCCTTGAATCTATTCTTCACCTCTACTGTATATTCATCAGGGATGCGATCTAGGTCAAACCTGAATGGCCTAGTGGTTTTCCCAATTTTCTTCAGTTTAAGTCTGAATTTTGCAATGAGTAGCTCATGATCTGAGCCACAGTCAGCTCCAGGTCTTGTTTTTACTGACTGGATAGAGCTTCTCCATCTTTGACTGCAAATTATATAGTCAATCTGATTTCGGTGTTGCCCATCTGGTGATGTCCATGTGTAGAGTCGCCTCTTAGGTTGTTGGAAAAGGGTGTTCGCTATGACCAGTGTGTTCTCTTGACAAAACTCTGTTAACCTTTGCCCTGCTTCATTTTGCTTTCCAAGGCCAAACTTGTCTGTTATTGTGGTTACCTTTTGACCTCCTACTTTAGCATTCCAGTCCCCTATGATGAGGAGGACATCATGTTTTGGTGTTAGTTCTAGGAGGTGTTGAAAGTCTTCATAGAACCGGTCCACTTCAGCCTCTTCTGCATCCATGGTTGGGGCATAGACTTGGATTACTGTGATGTTGAATGGTTTGCCTTGGAATTGGACCAAAATCATTCTGTCCTTTTTGAGATTGTACACCAGTACTGACTTTTGCACTCTCTTGTTGACTATAAAGGCCACACCATTTTTTCTACGAGATTCCTGGCCACAGTAGTACATATAATGGCCAACCTACAGAATCCAAATTCCAGGGTGGTGGAAAGCAAGTGGGGTTCATCTTGTCTCCTGGCCGCATTTTCTCCCAGCACTTAGACCCACCCGGAATTAACTGAGCTCCACTGACTTCCGTGGGGGTGCCTCTTGCGTAGATGCATCTCTCATTTGGACAAGCAGTTTCTCTTCAGTGCCACAGTCCTAGGAACCTCGGCTAGTCCGCTCCCCTCCCTTCTCCCTGGGCGTCTCGACACAGGGTCAGGTCTCTTTCCTGGTGTGTGTGTGGGGTGTCTAGTTATGACCCTTCTTCTGCTCTGGTCCGGGGGGTGGGGTTTCTCTCTTCCTCTCCAGTGGCTGAATGAGAGGCATCCTCGTTCCCTCACACTACAAGTCGCTAGGGGAAGCTTTTGGGAGGTAGTTAAAAGGGGATTGGAGGAGCGTCTGCCAAGGGTGGGGTGGGGTGTTGAGATCCCAAAGGGCCAGCCTCACTGGACAGCGGGCGAGCGGATGGATGGCCTCTGGGTGTCCCTTCCGGCTCTGAGTTCCTGGTTCTCTCTCTGCAGGAAAACTGAAAGAGAAGGAAACCGAAGCAGCATCAACTGAGTTTGTGTCCCTTCCTCTCTGGGGTATTCCTTCAGAAAATGGGGGCGGGGAGTGGGGAGTGTCCATTGAAAGATGAGCCCCACAACCTCACCTCCCCAATGAAGAGGCCTAAGAAAGAGGGGGGGGGTCTTAGTCCATATCCAGCCGGGTGGCTTCTCAGCTACAGACATACCTCGTCCAGCCAGAACCACTGGAGAGCCGATTTCAAGGCCAAGTTGCATGAGAAACAGGAGTAAAAGCATTTGCGATTTCTCTGCCCCGCCTCTCCTCAAAGTGCTCCAAACAGCTGATAATCAAATCAAACAGCAAGAACACTATCAGTTTTTCAAAGTCCTCAGGAGTAGAAAGCAAAGCTAGACTCTTAAGCATCGTCAGGGGTTTTTTCATTTGAGCCAAGAGGCAGGGTGGAACTGTCTTAATAAACAAATCAGTTTAATTTCAACAATGGTGAATTGTATGACCTGGGAGATCCAGTCCCAGAGAGGCAGAACGGAGACTCTGACCGGGACCTTATAAATGGGCAGTGACTGGGCCGCAGGAGGGCCTTCCTTCCTGCCTTCCTTCCTTGTAGCTGTCACCACTTCCGGTGGCAGTGAATTCCACCTGTTCATGACTCTTTGCATGAAGAAGAAGCCAGTTTGGTGTAGTGGTTAAGTGCTCGGACTCTAATGTGGAAGAACTGGGTTTGATTCCCCACTCCTCCACTTGCAGTTGTTGGAGGACCTTGGGCAAGCCGTAGTTCTGATAAGAGCTGTCCTTGAAAAAGAGCAGTTTTTGTCAAGAGCTCTCTTAGCCCCACCTACCTCACAGGGTGCCTGTTGTGGGGAGGGGAAGGGAAAGGAGTTCGTAAGCCGCTCTGAGACTCCTTTGGGTAGTGAAGGGCGGGGGTATAAATCCAATCTCTTCTTCTTGTTTTTGTTTATCTCTTCTAAGCCTACTGCTCATTAATATCTTGGAGTGCCCACAAGTTCTTGTATTGTGAGAGAGGCATTCAGAGTTGGGTTTGCCATTGCTGCCTTCTGTGTAGCAACCGCGGCCTTCTTTGGTGGTCTCCCGTCTAAGTATTAACCGTGGCTGAACCCTGCTTAGCTGTGAAGCAACCAGTCCAAAAATCACCTTGTGGCAGGTGAGGGAAAGAAGCAGGAGTCTTCCCCAGTTTCATAGATGCTCTCCTGATCCACGACGAAGAATCAGGTGGTTTCATGGAGGAGGATTTCTCTTTGTTGGATCCCCAAGCATCGAGAATAAATCCACGTTTTCAAGAAAAGCAAAATTTATTTCAAAGCGTTGAAGACATACTCAAACACGTTCTTTGTTAGAACTGGGGATACACAGTTAGGGCAAGCATAATAAAGGAACTTCAAATAGATACAGGTCCAATGAATAGCTTTCCCGCTGGCGGGCTAAAGAAACAGTTGTGCGCCCAGTCTATGGGAACCAGGCAGAGCATTAGTCAAAACACAGGTGCAGTACTCATGGGAAAAGCAACAGCCAAGCATTACAGCATCTTCTCCCCCACACAACCTCCAGCAGTTATCTTTTGCATTCCAACGCAGGAGCAGGATGATAGAAACCAAGCCGGGTGCAACAGGGAAGGATATGTACACAGAGGCCCCCACACAACCTCCAGCAGTTATCTTTTGCATTCCAAAGCAGGAGCAGGATGATAGAAGCCAAGCCGGGTGTAACAGGGAAAGGATATGTACACAGGGGTCACAGAAAACAGAATGGCAGCTTGCTGACATACTGCCCCCCTTAAAATACACTTACAACACACCTCCCGGGCTGGGCGGGAGATCTCCCGGGCTGGGCGGGAGACCTCCCGGTTTGTCCGGGAACCTTTTGTGGAAACTACGGATCAGGTAAGGGGCCCGAATATCCCCTTCTTCCACCCATTCGCGGTGCTGGGGACCGAAATCAACCCATTCGATAAGGTACCAGAGTTTACCACGTTTCAATTTACAATCAAGGATATCAGCGATCTCAAAATGTTCATCCCCTTCCAAAATGACAGGTGGAGGAGGAGTAACTGCTGGTCTCCAGGGAGACGGGCCAGGATCCTTCTTCAACAGGCTCATGTGAAAAACAGAATGCAGAGCACGTAAATTCTTAGGCAAAACAACATCAACCGCCACATCATTTATGACTTTACGCACTTTGAATGGACCAATGAACTTCCACCCCAATTTCCTGCTAGGTCGCAGCATCTTAATGTTCTTGGTCGAGACATACACAAGATCCCCAGGTTTCAGATCAAACCCCACCACCCTACCCTTGTCTGCCTGGGTCTTGTAAGCAGCCTTGGCTGCGTCAAGTGTTTGGCATAGCAGAGGCCATGCTTTTTGCAAGGACATACACCAGGTATCAGCATCCCCCACAGGACGTTGGCCCATCCCCTCCAGGAAAGGGAGGGGGGGCTGTCATAACCAGAGACAGCTTTATAAGGAGACATGCCCGTGGAGCTATGGACAGTATTGTTATAACAATATTCAGCAAGAGGCAACAATTCACACCAATCATTCTGTTGATAATTAGTAAAACAACGAAGATATTGCTCCAGGGTCTGATTAACTCGTTCTGTTTGTCCGTCAGTCTCAGGATGATACGCGCTGCTGAGCCCTTGTTCCACCCCTAAAATGGAAAGAAGTTCCCTCCAAAACTTAGAAACAAATTGGGTCCCCCTGTCAGAAATTAACTTAGTAGGTAATTGATGAATTTTCACCACGTGAGACATAAACGATTTCGCCAACCTCTGAGCTGTAGGCAAGGAAGGAAAAGGCACAAAATGAGCTTGCTTAGAAAATAAATCAACAACCACCCAAATAACAGTGTTCCCTTTGCTCGCAGGGAGGTCAGTAATAAAGTCCATGGACACCACTTCCCACGGTCTCGATGGGGTAGGGAGTGGCTGCAGAAGACCAGGAGGCTTGCCCACTCTGGGTTTAGTCAAGGCACAGGTTTGGCAGGACCGAACAAAAGTCAAGAGGTCTTTGCGCATCTGTGGCCACCAGAACTGTCTGCGGATGAGTTGCAGAGATTTAACAAAACTCCAATGCCCTGCCAGTTTCGAACCATGAGCAGAATCCATCACCTCCCTCCTCATCGAAATAGGCACATACAGTTTGTCTCCAGAATAAATCAGACCTTCAGGGCTACGGACACAATCTGGCAACGCTTTCAGGGAGGCATCATCATCAGCAGTAAAAGCAGACATATATTTCTGGACCCAGCCCCCCCCCCCCCAGGGAAAAGGGAAGGCGAAGTTTCATCAGAGCGCGGAATCGAGCGCGCTTGCGCACGGGTGACCACAGCCCCCCCCAGGTGGGAGGGGGAAAAAACAGAGTCCATGATGATTTCACGCTGACTGTCATGTTGTGGGAGGCGTGAAAGCGCGTCAGCCAGGGAATTCGCCGCCCCAGGGAAATGACGAAGAGTGAATCGAAACTTAGCAAAGAAGTCCGCCCAACGAAGTTGTTTAGCGTTGAGAGAACGGGGGGATTTCAGCATCTCCAAATTCTTATGGTCAGTCCAGACTTCAAATGGCAGTTGCGCCCCCTCCAACCACTGCCTCCAAGTGGAGAGAGCCAGCCGGATCGCTGACGCCTCCTTCTCCCAAATCCCCCAGTTTCGTTCAGCGTCAGAAAACTTTTTAGACACAAATGCGAGGGGGTGTAAACGACCATCTTCCCCTTCTTGCAAAATAGCGGCCCCCATTGCCACATCCGAGGCATCAGTTTGGACAATGAATTTTTTAGTTTCATCAGGGCGCGCCAGCACTGGCTCAGAGGTGAACATCAGTTTAAGTTTCTCAAAAGCCTCTGCGCAAGCAGGGGACCATTTAAGCGGGGCGCCTGGTTTCGTAGCATCAAACCCCTTCCCCTTGGTCTTTAGCAAATCAGTCAGGGGAAGGGCAATTTGAGCGAAATTCTGGATGAAATTTCTATAAAAATTGGCGAATCCGAGGAACATTTGCAATTGTTTGCGGGTCCTGGGGGGTTCCCAGTCAAGTACAGCCTGTATTTTAGCAGGGTCCATTTCCACCTTCCCCCCAGAGATGCGATAACCCAAAAAGTCAATGCATGTCTTGTGGAATTCACATTTTGACAGCTTTGCAAACAGGTGGTGTTCATAAAGTCGCTTAAGGACCTGGCGCACCAATTTAATATGCGACGGGAGGTCCTGAGAGTACAGCAACACATCATCAAGGTAAAGGACCACTCCTTTGAACAAGAACTCATGTAGGACCTCATTGATTAGGTTCATGAAGACCCCCGGAGCCCCTTGAAGCCCGAAGGGCATAACGAGGTACTCAAACTGCCCCAAAGGGGTATTAAATGCAGTCTTACTTTCATCCCCCTCCCGAATGCGCACACGGAAATATGCATCTCGGAGGTCAAGTTTCGAGAAGATTTTGCCCTTGGTGGCCTCAGCTACCAAGTCCTTGATTAGCGGGAGGGGGTAGGCATTGGACAAAGAAACAGCGTTCAGACCCCTATAATCAGTGCACAATCTAAGCCCCCCGTCTTTCTTCTTTCGGAAAAGTACAGGCGCGGCGAAAGGGGAGGAAGCCGGGCGAATGAAACCTCGGGCTAGGTTTTTATCAATAAAGTTCCGCAGTTCAACTTTCTCAGCCGGCCCCATCGCATAGATTTTACCTTTAGGTAATTTACAGTCAGGCAAAAGTTCAATAGCACAGTCAGTAGAGCGATGGGGGGGCAATTCGTTAGCTTCATCTTCGCCAAACACTTTCGCCAAGTCTCTATACTCTCGAGGCAAAGAAGCTAACTCTTCCGGCTGCAAAGCGCCGCAGGGGAACTGTGCGGTCGGCTGGTCCCCCCACGAGTCCAACCAGCAGTGATCTACACATTTAGCCGACACAAATTTGACAACCCCTTCTTCCCACAAGATGTAAGGGTCATGGGTAAACAACCAGGGACTCCCCAGTACTAAGTCAAACTGCGATTTAGGGGTAACAATGAAGGATCTGGATTCCCAATGATCGCCAGCCCCCAACCGCAAAGCCATAGTCTCGTGTGTACAAGGTTCCATGGGTGCCCCATCCATTTGGGTAAAAATGATGGGAGACTTCAAGGGGACTATCCCCGCTTCCAGTGCCAATAACACTCTAGGGCTGATGAGATCCCTCCCACACCCAGAATCAATCAACGCTCTCACCCTAACGTGGGTCCCCAGGAGCGGATTCATTAACGAGACAGTCACGAAAAACAGGGAAGGGGTTTCTCTCACCACCTTGGGCGCAGCATTAGAATGGCCTTGTCGTTTTGCGCCCCTCACAAC